TCTTCCTAGCCCCAATAATGTAATATTTTAAAAATTGGAATAGTGCCAAAAAGAACCATGATGAACAAAATATCAGTGCCATGCCATGCCATATTGAAGCCTGAGGCAAAAAGCAAAAATAAGTGCTGATTCTGTCTTTAAAATTTTGATATTTTGCATTCTACTCCAAGCAAGGATTTTTAGAACCAAACAGGCCACTCAGTTCAACTTGATCTCTATTAAAGTCAAAATTAAGGTATTTGATTAAGATCTTTACCAGTTTAAAGTATGCCAAAAACACCTGGATAGTAGAAAATTGCAGCAATTTAGATGCTTTGGAAAGACAAATGCATGTCAGACCATAGGAAATGAAGCCCCCAATGATACAGGGACCAGTATTTTCATAGGATTTCTGGAATTCAGTGGTCTTTAAGATGTCAGGTTATTTCATCTCAAATTTAAAAACATGTTGCTGCACTTTCCATTATCAGTTACGACTGAAGGAAGATGCCTGATCTCTTTGGATTTTGGAAAACAACATACATCACAGTTAGGTGTATTTCTTGGGTGTATTTACTCTGTGCTTCAGAAGGCTGCATGGTATTAAGTGTAGCCCAGGGAAAGAGAAGGCTGTGCAGATAGCCCAGGCTGCATTACAAAGAGTTTGACCACTTGATACTAATTAACCAATGATCCAATGGAACTGAAAATATCTATGGCCAATTGGGATGCTGTAGGGAGCTTGTAGAAACCCAGTCATGATTAACTATGATAGAGTAACCTAGGATTTTGGTGTAGATCTACCATAAGGTTTTTGAGTAAACCTATACTCACTTTGATAAGAACCATATCCTACTTTTTTTTAATAAAACAGCTCTTGCCTTGCTATGAGTCTCTGGTAGATGCTATCATCTCATTATGGTACATAGACAAACTGCAGCCTGAGTCCTCATAATAATTAGAATGTCATGTTGTTCGCCAGATTAAGACAGAGGAACAAAGGTGGAGGAATCACTCTATCTGATATCAGACTATACTATAAGGCCATAATAATAAAAGCAGCATGATACTGGTATAAAAACAGAAATAAACCCACATCTTTATGTCAATTAATATTTTACAAAGGCACAAAAACACATAATGGGGTAAAGACAGTCTATTCAATAAGTGGTGCTGAGAAAACTGGACAGATAAGTGCAAAAAAGTGAAACTAGGCCACTGTCTTACATCCTACACAAGAATAAACTCAAAATGGATTAAAGACGTAAATGCAAGACTCAAAACCATAAAAATCCTTGAAGAAAACATGCAGTAAAATCTTGGACGTTTCTAGCAGCAGTATTGTTTTTGATATATCTCCTCAGGCAAGGGAAACAAAAGAAAAAAATAAATGGGACTACCTCAAACTAAAAAGTTTTTGCACAGCGAAGAAAAACTACTAACAAAGTGAAAAGAACCCACTGAATGGGAAAACATAATGTGAAGCATACACTCTTCCTAACAAGCTATTTTATTTCACTTTTTACTCTCTTTCCCACAGATTGTTCCTTCACTTCTGTAATGGCTCCATCATACTTTTCCTAAAGAATTCTCATGCAAATTCTGGTTCAAGACCTGTATCCTTAATCCATTTACTTTCTACATCCTCTTCCATTTATTCCAGGTTTACCCAACATTTTAGAGTGGGTATTTCTCTTTTAATTTTCAGGGTTTTTTTTTTTATATTTTAATGACCATCCTCTTTTTAACAAACCAGCCTGTCTTTTACACATACTATTGTCCATGGTCCTCCTTCAATTAAAGATGACTCTAAATTATATTTAGACCTGAACTGCAACCTGATTGTGGAAAAAAATCTGACCTTCACTCTTTCCTGATTTTCCTTTGTTTTTTTATGGGGGGGGCAAACGTTGGGCACCAGATGAGGGGGGTACTGTGTCCCCTTGCAGAGTCCCCTAGGGTCACCGCAGATGGAGGAAAATAAGTCATTCCAGACACTTCTCGGTCTGCCAGGAAAAAGGGGTGGTGATTCCCTCTAGTGGAGAATGCCCCAGTCCCTCTCTTGAAGTGGATTTTATTGAGAATGATATGCGCAGGGACAGTACAGAGCATGCATGCAAAGCTCATCAATCAATGTCAAAAGGTTATGTTTACAGAGAACAGAGATCATAGATAACAACTGAAGGAACAGAGACTTGCCTCAGGTCAGGGTTGGTTCCCATTCAGTCCTGAAAACTGGGAAACTGATCACATTCTATGCTCAACCCCAAACATCAGTACTCATTAATTTGAGAGCATCTTAGCAAGGTAAGTTTCAGAGGATATAATGCATTCCTTTTCCAGGCTTAATTATCCCCAGGAACCGCCTGATCCAGTTTAGCGCTATACCTGCCTTTAGTATTGCTTCAAGCCTGAGCCAGGAGGGTGGAGCAGAGCAGCCAAGAGATAGACTTCTTTCAGATAGAATGAGGACTCTGGCCTTGACAAAGCTGAGGGGTGAGGGTCTTTTGCCCCTTCTCAGTGTCCCTCAAGTCCTTCCCTGATGACCCCCATCAGAGACTATGCCTGTTATGGTGCCCCTGCTATCGAGAGGTCTTACCTGTCATTGAGTAGCCAGCTATCCTCCGGGGCCAAGAAGGGTGATATGAGGGAGGCAGGGGCTGGACCCCTGCCAGGGGGACAGGTTTTGTCTCCTCAGGGGCCTATTTTCCCAAGGCCTGCTTGCTCAGCTCCAGCCTTGGGGCCCTCTCACCTGTTGGCGAAGCTACCATCCCTGAAACCCAGCAAGACAGTTCCCAACAGGTTTGTTCCACTGATTTCTGGTGCTAAATATTATTAAGTAGAAACTTAACACTTGTCCATGTCTTTTTTTCCTTTAAGTAACTTGATGTTTTCTCTGGATGCTCAAAAGCCTTCCTTTATTTTACAGACCAATAACTTTGGTCAAAACTGAGACATATTTTAGTTTTCTGGATCAATTTTCCCTTAAACATGACTGTCCAGATCTTGACACTTAGGCTTTTTTTCTTATATCACTCTGCTTGACCTCTGTTCTCTTCATGGCAGTTCTGTCTCCAAAGTTTATCATTCAAGGCAAGGTCCCGGTCTTTCTAGAATTATCTTTTCTCCTATTTCTGAAATCCTCTCTAATGTTTCACCACTTCCTAAGGACTCCTTCTCACCTCTGATTGGCAAGCCTCTCATCCTCTAACAAGCTTCTGTCTAGTCTCAACCGCATTAGGAAGCACTCGTGTATTTTTGGAATTCGTGGACTTTCCCTTTCTCTAAAGTTCACTGAAATTGGAGTCTGCTGTTTTGGTCCCCATTAGTGACTTTGAATTATTTCCAAGAGATGAAAGAGGTAAGATTCACATCTTAGCTGTTATACTGGTTATATTAATAAGTCTCCCTGTGCCAACACGCCGCCCCGCAACCCTAGTCGAGTTGGGGCTGTCAGAGAACAAACCATATAAGCAGTTTTGGAGAGGAAAAAAAATTATAACTCTAAATGCTGCAGAGGGGATTGAAATTGTATGCATAAAAACAAGATCCCTAAAACAACAGAAGGTATGGGACCCACAGCCATATGCAAGAAACAGAGACATTATTTTATTTTTTTAAAAATACCTGAAGCTATTCATCAGGCCAGCTGGTTTTCTTTTTGCTTCTCCAATAGTGAAATAAAATTGATGGTACAAGAACATGCGCCCCTGTGATAGCCGGGGAACTTGAGCCATAGAATCCACTGTGCAGGAAAAAAATCTATAGAGCTGGCGCCACCCAGCTGCCCCTCTCTAGGATTCCAAAGACGCCACATGGGTTGGGGGAAAAGAAAATACACCAGATGAGTCCACCACAAAAATAAAAAATACAATTACTCCTCTCATTATTATTATTATTTTTTTAAAGGCCTTATTTCTTTTCTACCAGCTTCCTTAAAGAACAAAAACAAAAAACCCACCAGCCGACTTCTGCCCAGTTGAACGACATCGCAGGAGCAGAAATCATTGCCAAGCAACCCAACAGAAGAAAAAGTTTACAGGATCCCTCCTCACCTCTCTGCAAAGAAAAGGCCTTTCCCTCAAGCCCTTCGGGGAGCAGATCCATTTCTCTTTTCTGTCTGGTGCAGGTTCCCTTGTGCACAAACTTAATAAAACCTTTGCCTGAACTTTTTTTTTTCTGGCGATCTCTTTTTGTTTCTATCCCTGGGTACAAATAAAATGAACCCAGGTCTCAGATAACACCCCCGGTATCATTTTTTTTTCCAGGTGAAGAAAGTGAGGTAACCCAATTTTACCTATGGCTTAACACACACTACGGCCATCCTGAGCCACCACCCTCCGCTCCCCTTCCCCCACCCCCACCAACACACACACTGCTTAACGCTCCGGATACCTGTCCCCTCCAGACCCATTCTGAGTTCTCCCTGGTGTCTTCTGGATCTGAGACTTCCAGGTGTCCGCTCCTTGAGCAGCGCAGGTTGCCCGCCAATGCTCACTCACTGATAAAGGCCAAAAAGCCGATTTAGTCTGTCTTGAGTATTCGCCGAGTGAGGTGTAATTCCTAGAAGAAGCGCAGCTCCACTCATCTCTGGGAAAGCTCAATGCAGAAAGTCATCTATGACAATTTTCTACATAGACGGGCGCCTCACGCTTTGTGGCTCTGGACTACATTTCCCAGAATGTTTTGCGGTTCTAATCAACTTCCGGCGAGAACCGAACTTTTTTTTTTTTTTTTTTTTTTTTTTTTTTTTTAATTTCTCAAGGAAAATAAAACTCCATGGGATTGGCCGGATCTATGCAGGAAGCTCGTCTCCAGGGTGCGGGATCTGCCTACTGCGGGAGCCGCACTCCGAGCCTGCGGGTGGATTTCAAACACTCCTGGCAGCGATTCGGAGAAGGCAGCAGGGCTGTCAGCTTGGCCCAGAATTTGCGCTAGCAGAAATCAGAGGGAGGGGCGCCAATTTGACCAAACGTATCCCGCTCGGGACTACATTTCCCAGAGGTCCGCGCGGGAACAGGGCCTCTTCTCCACTCCCCTGTGGTACCCTGGGCCTCCTTGTAAGGTGCAGTGCAAGGTGAGAGTTCTCGAGATTGGGGACGCGACTACACTCCTGTGGTGCGCCCCTGAGAGTTTGAAGGGACGGTCCGGGCGGGTCCGGAGTCTCAGGCCTGCGTGAGTTGGTCAGACTGAGGAGAAGTGTGGGGATTCCATCTGTACCATTGTGACCTCTGTGTGCGGCGCTTTGTGCGCCGTACGATTGTATATCTCGTGGTGGGTGTGTCTTTGTGCCGGTGACCCGGCGAGGATCTGTGTCCACGTGTCACTGTGGATATTCACGTTGTAGGTGTGTGATTGCGGCAGCGTACGGCGCTGTGAGTAGGTGTGACTTTACCCTGGGGACTGTGATTGTGTGCATTCGTATAACTTTGTGTGACGTTGTGTGGGGAGGAGGGTAGGGGGAATGTAGATAATCTGTGATGATGTGGCTGTGACTGTTATCTGAGGGCTGCGTGTTTGTGATTGAAGTTGTATGAATGCTACTGGCACTAAGTATACTGGATGTCTGTGACTGAGGATGTGTGAGCATGATCATGTAACTGTTTGTGACACTCTGTGCAGTTAGATGGTGCTTGTCATTGTGCCAGGGAGACTGTATTGGTGTGTGAGGCCTGGACGAGTTTTGGTCTTGGACAGCAGACTTTCCCGTTCTACCATTCAGAATGCTCAGCACAGCTTAGACTCCTCTGGCCTCTCTCCATGGGTGGTAGGTTTGGGAGAGCTACCTCTGATCTGGTGAGTCTGGCCACAAGAAAAACCTAGCATCTATTGATTTCTTTCTGCTTCCTCAGCTCTGCTTCTCAGGAGGTCCTCAAAAGAAGGAGGAATGGCTGCTGGCCAAACCAAATACAAGGTGGGTTCGGGTTTCCTATTTGCTCTTTTTCTCTTAGATGGTCATTTTTCACATAAAGTCCTTTTTTCTCAGTAAGTATCCTCTTTCTACAAATTAAAACTTAAGAAAATAATGGAAGCCCTGGGGGTGGACACACAGATCCCAGTACGTACCCTCATTTTATACTACATAATGTTTGCATATTAATTTAGGAAATAGCTCAGTTATTTCTTTGTGCTAAGATTTTGCTTCTTAAACACCTCTTAAATCTTTAAGAAGCATGTGCTTCTTAAACATGCACATGCACGCAAAACATGATTACTTTAAAGAATCTGGAAAATAGGCAGTTACAAAGAGTATAGCCAGTCAAATATTTTGATCAATTTTTTTCTAATAAGTTCTCTATGCATATATAATATACGTTATTTCAAGATTGGAATCTTACAGTATTTACCATTCCATAGCTTGTTTTCACTAAAAGTTATCTGTTGCTATTAGTTTCTTTTTCATTCTTTAAAAAAACTTACTGAATATTACATACATGCACAAAAGTGCTTAAAATATAAGTATGTGGTTTAAGAAGTAGCTATAAAGAGAAACTCTGTGTAACAAAAACTTGCATCAGCACTCCAGAAACCCATTAGTCCTACACACAGGAAAAAAAAACCTATTCTCGTCACCTCTTAGGTAATACTTATCCCAACTTTAAGGTGGTAATTTTTTTTTTTTTTAGTAGTTTACCACATATTCACACATCCCTAAAAGATATAGTTTAGTTTTTACATTTAACTTTGTAGAAATAAAATTATGCTGTGTGATGTTTTGAGTTTTTTTCTTATACAATACTATATTTCTTTAAGGTCACTCTTGTGAGTTTTTACATATAGTTGTAATGTGGACATTTGTTGTTTCCAGTTTTTGGCTACTTTGGAAGGACTGCTCTGAACATATATTTATAAGTATCCTAGTGCACATATGGATGCTTTCCTAGAGCATAAACTTATGAATGGAATTGCTGGGCATTATGATATATGTGTATCTTTAAATTTCCTAGATATTGCTGAACTGATCGTCAGTATGCTTGTACCAATCACCTTTAATTCTCTATAATACTTGGTTACTTGTTTTAATTTTGATGACTTTGCATATATAGTGTGTATCATATGGTTTTAAAAGAATAACATATGTTCCCTAAAGTACAGAAATTGAAGTATATATCTGATGAATTTTATAAAATGAGCATATTCATTTAATCGAGCTTAACTCAAGTGAATAGAACATTACCAATATTCCAGAAGCCTGATTCTTGTCCCGTCTACTCACTATCCACCTTTCCCAAAGTTAACCAGTATTCTGTCTTCTATAGTCACAGATTAATTTTGCCTGTTCTGTATATAAATAGAATCACACAGTATCTCATTTGTGTTTGACTTCTTTTGTTCAACATTAAATTTCACATGTAATGTAAATGTATTATGTAATTGTATGATGTAGTATGAAAATGAGATTCATCCATGTTGCCTCACCTAGTTGTAGGTCATTTATTATTGTTTAAAATTCCTTTACATGAACATACCACAGTTTAGTTTTTCATTCCATTATTGATTGCCATTTGGTTTATTTTCAAATTGGGACTATAATGAACAAGGCTTCTATGGGCATACTTGTACATGTCTTTTGGGGCACATATGAATACATTTCTATTGGGTATATCCCTAGGAGTGAAATTCTGTGTTATAAGTTAGGCATATATTCAGCTTTAATATATACTAACAGTTTTCAAAATGATTGTATTAATTTACACTCCTGACTTCATTGTATGAGAATAAACTTTACAACAAGAAGTTTTACTAGAGAGAAAGAGTAATAGTTAATCATATACAGGTTAGTCCACCGGCAAGATATTACTACTATTCTAAATATATGTACCTTCATAAAATGACTTCAAATATATTTGACAGAACTAAAAGAAGTAGTATACTTCTACTATATACAGTAGTAAAACATATACAGGATCTAGCAGATGAACACCTGCTTGAGTGTGGTTAGTAGGGTAATAATATGGGTAGATAAATCTCAATCATGGTGGCAGATTTTTAACACTGTTCTCAATAGCTGGTAAAACAATCAATGAAAACCTAGTAAAGTATATAATATTTGAACAGTGTGATTGACAAATGTGATATAATAGATATACACAGCACAATGTTCTTTATAACTATAGTATATATTATTTATAGTTGCATATAAGCCATTTATCCAAATTGACCATATTCTGAACCACAAAGAGAATTTCAGAGCATTGAAATAATACTGTATGTTTTCTGGTCACAGTGGCATCAGCTAGAAGTCAGTAACATATACATATTTAGAAATATTCCAATATTTGGAATTTAAGCAATGTATTCATAACTGTTGAATCAAGGAAGAAATTGTGATGGAAATTAAAAATATTTTGAACTGAATGATAATGAAAATATCAAAACATGGAGTGTTGCTAAAACTGAAGCTAAAGAAAATATCTGGCCGTAAATGCATATGCTAGTAAAAAGAAGAATGTTGAAAAATTAATGATCTATGTATTCATCCCAAGAAACCAAGGAAAAGTATACTGAAACCCAAAGAAAGCAAAAAATAGGAAATAATAAGAATAAGAACTCAAATATAAATTTAGGTATACTAGAACATAAAATGAATGTACAATAGAGGAAATTAACAAATTCAGTAGTTTACTTTGGGGATTAATAGAATTGATAAACCGCTAGCAAAATTTAAGAAAGAAAAGGGAGATAGGGCACAGGATACCAAATCAGATTTAAGAAACAATGAAAACATAGACTAGCTTTAAGCCTGAGTTCTCAATTAATTCTTGGTTGGTACCTAGGGATTGGTTGCACAACATAAGATCATTAGAACCTGAGCCGGTGATCATTATACTTGAGTCCCTTTGTATACTTCATTGGACATGTAACCTTATCTTTTAATATAGACTTTTAGTTTTGTAATTCAGTTTCTTCATTGGACATTGTGTCTGCTTTAAGTGTTATATGGTCTGCAGTGTCATTACAACTTACCGTGTTATGAGGGGTTTAATATGTTAATAAAATGTTAATTTCTTAAAAAATAGATTTTATTATTTTTAGAGAGGGGAAGGGAGAGCAACATCAATGTGTGGTTGCATATCACGCGCCCCCTGCTGGGGACCCGACCTGCAACCCAGGCCTGTGCCCTACACTGGGAAACGGACAGGCAACCCTGTGGTTGGCAGGACGGCGCTCAGTCCACTGAGCCACACCAGCTAGCACTGAAACGTTAATTTCCTAGGTGATAATGGGTTGAGTATGCAATGAGTTCTTGGAAACATTCAGCTTATTTATTATTTCATCACACCCCACCTCTACTTGGATTTTCATGCATGATAGAAATACCCTTTCTATCTTGGGTTATTGTGTGAAGCCACAGGTGTCATATTCCTCCCTTGGTGTTGATAAAGTGTTTCCTTTTTCTGAGGCTGGCGTCTTAAAAATTCCCTAAATTTATACTGTTCAGATTGTGCAGATGGAAACAAGCACATTGATTAGATCATATATAAATAGTAGAATGAGAAAATATAAATAGTAGAATAAGAAAAAACATATACAGGATCTAGCAGATGAACACCTGCTTGAGTGTGGTTAGTAGGGTAATAATATGGGTGTAGTAATTTATAGTGTAATTTGAACATTTCACCTAAAATGTCATATGGTGTGCTTGAGTGTGATATTGTTATATTACAGAATTACATGCTTATGATTTTCTAATAAAAAATTTTGTAATAAAAAAGGGACATTTGTGCTGGACCTGTAAAATCACTCACTAATTATGACAAGGAAAAAAAAACTTTTAAAATTCAACCTCTCTCTTCTGTACTTCAGTTTTTTTTTTTCTCTCATGTCATTATAGGCTTAAATCATTTTTCCATGTTTGACTTACTGATGGTTGGTCAGACTTCATCATAGTAAAAGAAGGAGTGGCAGGAAAATATAGTATGTCGTTGCATAAATTTTCATTACATGGTTGATGAGAGCCCCTTTCAGGAAGAGTCTTGAAAGGAATCTTTTCAACACACCACCTGTGATACTCTTGAAAACAGACATTTTGGCAACAGCAGAAGGTTCCACATCTAACCAAAAGTTTTTTTCTGTTGTAAGACATGGTGTCAGCTATTATTCAGGAAGCCCTCTCTTCTTTTTTCTTATCTTCACTTCTTTTCTTTCCTTCTTGTTATTGAATAAAAGACAAAAAACAGGAAGTTTATGTTATACCTGAGAGTTTATGTTGGGTAAAAGTACTACTGTTGTTGGTCTACTTTAAGTGGTGCCAAGAGTTCAAAACCTTTTTTTTAAGATTTTGTGTTCACATTGATTTTTCTCTAGTTTTCTTAAGGTAAGTGATTTTTTTTCACCTTTAAGAATTTTTTTGGTATTTGGTAGATTATTGGGGAATTAATTGAAGGATTAATTGAGGAAGTAATGGAATTTGAGGCATTTTTGCAATAAATGTATATTATAGAATAACAAGCAAAATTTGCTTTTTTAAAAATGATAAGATTTAAAAGAAATTTTACCTTAAGGTGGGCACTTCCTCAAGAAAGGGACTGTGGGCATGACAGGTGTCTGAAGCTATTAAATATGAGATTTATTATACAGTGACTGAACATTCCAGTGACGATGACTTCATAAGGCTGTTAACTTTCCTTTTGACTCTATTAACCTAAAAATGAGTAGGCACAAAAGTAGGAGAGTTAGAATACAGATAACGTTTTTGGAAAACAAGCATGTGGTATTTTGAGAAGGATTACTTTGAACTAAAGTAACTTAGATGCTGCAGATGAAAAGTTAACTGAATGCCTGGAGTTTACTCAGGAAAAAGTCAGGATGGACATCAGTCTCCCCAGCTTTCTCTGGGCTAATCTCTATTTTAATTTTCTCCCCAATCCAGTCTACTGGCCAAAAACCATACAAAAATATGCTGGTTCCCCT